AAAACAGCTGCAGTTTAACCACAAAGAGGTCAGATTAACCCAGGCAATTAAAATTGAGATAGATATTTTTATTGCTGTTACAATGAAATGTTGATTAGAAAAGTCCTAAGCTGCAACACAGTGAAATACTACCAGTTTCATGGACCGAAATCGTAATGTTTCTAAATCAGATAGTTTCACCTATCTCTGTGGGTCTTCTACATTAGTAAAAGTCCTGAGGCCAGTTTTCTCCATGCTGATATTTTCATGTATCCTCTTTTGGAAAAGGTAGACATGAAGAATGTTCATCTTTAAATCAGGCACCTTTGAAAAGAAATCCAAAGCATGGATGAAAGGTGTCTCTTGTTCTATAATACATATATCATTGGCCATACAATAAAAGTTTATATAGGCACTTTTGAGTTCCTATCCTGTAGTGTTAAAAACCTCTGGAAACTGAAAAAGCACAAATGTGGTAATTTTCCATAGTTAGTAGCATAAAAAACTACTTATACTGGCCAAAAATTCTGCAGAGTTGCAATCTGAAAACTTTGGAAGACATCAGATTTGGAAAGCAGAGCTATCAAAATTGATAGTTGATACACAAAATATGTAAACAAACAAAAAAAGGCAAAACAAAAAGTAGAAAATCTGAATCTCCTGTTAATTTAAAATACAAGCTTATATTTGGATCTCAGGATTAGGGTTGAAGAGTCATTATCTTAGCATAAGGTACCACAGAAACACTGAATGGGAGAAAGCTTACTGAAGGGAAGGAAGGATGGAATTGTTTTGTTCTGATATGACAACTAGGTTATGACAACTAGGTTCAAGCAAGTTCATTGTTATGCAGAGCTCTCCTCAGGATTGACCCTTACCTTTAGATTCTCTCTTCCTGTTATAGAAATAGTGACTGATGTTGACTTTTTGCAAGCCAGATTTAAACTCTAACAGTTGCAATGTCTAGGCAATATAGAATCAAAGCCATCTAATTTAAAATGCTCTGAATCAAATTATGATAACAAATGCTACTGACAAAATAATAATCTATAGCTTATTTGGAAATACAGCTATATAAGGCTTAATTTGGCAAGGAATTGTATTTTTGAAATTGATCATTACTTGAGTTTGGAACCAAACACAGACATAAGGGAAAGAAATGGCAGTTGGCAACAATAAAAAGATACTAAGTGATTAGTAGGGAATTTTAGGAAAAGAACATTCTTTCTAGACTAATTTTTGCTTCACTTGTGAGCTTGGATAGTTCTGTTCAGTGAAACTTTTCTTATCAATATTAACTAATTTAAAGAGATTTTATAATTTTAAATCTTGTCCTTTCTCCATGCCCATACCTACCCTTGTTCTTACCTTCCTTTAAAGTAATCATATTCTGATTATTTCAATCATTGGAGTAATTCTGTTTGATGCAATACCAAACAGAAATCCAAGATTAAAATCTCACACACAGTTTGGCTATCACATTAATCAAGTGACTGTATCAGGAGATAGATAGATAGATAGATAGATAGATAGATAGATAGATAGATAGATAGATAGATAGATAGATAGATAGATAGAGATTATGTGCCAAAATAGGAAGCAGAAATAGTATAATAATAACTAAAAAATCTGAATGGTGAAGATTACAATACCTGGACAGAGTAGAAAAGAGGAAAAAAGAACTGGGGGAAAAAATCACAAAATATAAAGACCTGCAAACAGAAGTAGAATGATTGTGGCAAAAGCAAACAAAGATAGTACCAATAGTGATAGGCCCCTTTGGGTGTAATTCCAAAACATCTGAAGCACCACATGAACACTATTAACATTGACAAAATCACCATCAGTCAATTTCAAAAGGCAGCTTTTCTTGGAACTGCTTACATCTTGCAATGATACCTTTAATATTATTAAACAAGATTTGCCTATAGCAGATCCTTGGAAAAGACTCAATAGGTAGATAAAAATGCCAAATCCAGTCTAAACATCAACCAGTACAATCATGTAATTGTTAACTCTTAGCAACTACAAAGATTTTGTGTGAATGTTTGTGTGTGTGTCATGCCAGGTGCATTCTTTTATTCTTTTATAATGCAGGATAGTTTCTATAACTTGGGTTTGGTCAAAGTATGAACATCAAAAATAAGCCAAGCATAAGCTATTATGTTGGTTCTGCTATAATCAGAAGCCATGACTAAAACAAGCAACAATTTGTGGTAAGCAAGGAATTATAAAAACATGTTTGTTGTCACCAAATAAACCACTGTTTATAAAGATCTTCTCCCTCAAAACCCAACTACATATTTATTAAATTTATATTGCTACCTATTTGCTCATGGCGGCTCTAGGTAGCTTATAGAATATAAAAACCACATTTAAAACTATAAAACTAATTAAAAAATCAAATTAATATAATGAAATCATAAAATCACCCCCACCCACCCCACCCTGGTGACAGCAGATCTCACAAGCCATTTAATGGGCTCCATCCTGCTCTAGGTTGCAGGGGGGCGTTCTAATCTCTGGGAGAATGATGTTCCAGAGAGAGGCAGCCACCTTGGAGAAGTCCCTTCTTCTGGGTCCCATTAGGTGTATCTCCCGCAGCATTCCCTGCTTCTCCGCTGTGATGGGTCGGGTAGATGTGACTGGCAAGAGAGGATCCCTCAAATCAGTGGCCACCAACCTTTTTTGAGCCAGAGACCGGTTTCACGATTATTTATTCTTCCACGGACTGGTACCTGAGTAACGCGAGACTCCACCGCCATCGGGACGGCTCTTTGTTCGAAGCCACCGCCCCCTTTGACGAAACTAAGTAGCGAGCACCCAAACGCCGCTTCCCAACCAAAAACCCAGAAGCACTTTCCAACCAAAAACCCGGAAGCGCCGTCAAAACAAGATGCCGGCGCCCAAGCTTTGCGGCCCGGTAAAAAATGATCCACGGACCGGTACCGGTCCAGGGACCGGTGGTTGGGGACCCCTGCCTCAAATAACCTGGTCCCAAGCCATGAACGGCTTTAAAGATAACAACCAGCACCTTGAATTACACCCTGAAGCAAATTAGTAGCAAATGCAGCTCCCGCAGGAGAGGTGATGCATGTGCACACTGGGGTCTGCACAAAACCATGTGGGCCACTGCATTTTGCACCAACTGGAGCTTCTGGATGCTCTTCAAGGGCAGCCCCATGTAGAGCATGTTGCAATAGTCAAGACGGGAAGTGATTAGGGCATGAGTGACTGTAAGTAGATTGTTGATCCAGGGCTACATATGTATCATGGCATAGTGTAGGGGAGGCAATCTTTTGTGACCACAAGCTGAATTTAAAAAATAATATCCCCAATGACCACAGGAATGGCATCTGGTAATGTAATAGTATCCAGAACAGGTGCAGCTGGACTGTTTGGCCCCTGTGATTTTTTTATAGTGGGTTTTGAAACATGACATAGGTGGGTGCCTTAATCTTAAAACACAACATCCCCAGATGAACACACGGTATGATAGTACTTGGTACAATGACACTTTTTGCTCAGCAACTAGGTCAAAATTTTAATTCACTGAATGGAAATTTTCCACTTCATTGTGCTCTTCACATTTACAATGGACAGAGATTCAATTTTGTGACATTTTTTTCTATGACAAGTTCAAGAACCTCCCACCATCATTGTTAACTTTTTGGAGTTGCATTTGGTGGAGAATGCATGAAAGCTTTTGAAATTCTGCTCAATCATAGTACAATGTACAATATTCTATTATCATTGAATTGTTAAATTGTTAGCTTTTACCTATAACAGACAATTTCATTTAAGGCCAAGTGTATTCATGAGAGTGTTAATACAAAATTCTGGCACAGCATTGTTAAAATATATTCACAGAACCATTATAACCATTATGGGCTGATAGATGTGAATCATTACTTTGTACCATGTAGCAAATGGGAAGAGTTTTTAACCTTTAAAATCTTGCATTTATCCAAGATGATGATCATATGTGTATTTTATTTTAGAGAAGGGTTGTAATCTAGGAAAGCTTTTTGGCGCTTCAAAACGCCAGAAAAGCACAGCTCAACAGAAACGGATCTCATCTCTGGTAAGATGGTACAGTCAAAGGTGCCACTTGTCCAATGTAAAACTTAGGGTAAAAACAGGGTGAGGAGAAGGATGGTGATGATTTATTATTGAGCTCAACCTCTACCGAGTCCTACCTAACCTGGAATATTTGTAGCTTCTCCACCTGTGTCAGATGAGTGAAGGCAAAACACCATTACCCGAAAGACCATGACCGAAGAATGCCCTTAAAAGGAAACGGTGAAAAGCCATCGGGATTTCTACCTCCCAGGATTCCTCCCCACGCTCTCACGCTAAACATTCGGTGTCCCTATTACACATTCGGCGTGTCAACTGGGAAATCGCACTTCCCGCAGGTGATGGAGCCTCCTGTTCTCGCCGGTCTTCTGAAATCGCGATGGGAAGGAAGAGTTTCGGGGCGGCCCGACGGTATTGCCTCGAGCTACGGCAGGGCAGCGAAGCATCGCCCCGCCCCAACTACTGTACGAAGGTGAGGAGGAACTGCGCGCGGCGGGCGCAGGTAGCTCCGAGTTAATCATTGTCCCGCAGGCAGAAGTTGCTTCGCTTCGCTTTTCTGGCAGCCCCTCCTTGCGGCTCGGAGTCTCCACCTCCCCGGGAGCGTTGGTGACCCGCCTGCTTTCTCACCCCCCCCCCCCCCCCCCCTTCCTCTCTTCCCAGCTAACGATCTGCGGTCGAAGCAGCTTCCTGCCTGGCGGATCGGTCTTCACTTCAGCCCGGGCTTTGGGTGCGCGATCCGGCGGAGCGTTTTTGACTTGGTCGCCCTGCCGCGTTTTGGGGAATCGGGTGAGTTTTTCCCTTCTCTTCCCCCCAAAAGGAATTCGGGAGAGCCGCCCCTTTGGCGGCTGTGTCCGGATCCGATCCGCCGAAGTTTCCCGCTCCCTCTTCGGTGCAGCCGGATTAGGAGGGTCAGCGCAGGTTCTTTATTGCGATTAAGAGGATTTTCTTCCATCTTTCTTCCCGCCGCCCCTTTCTTTTGGCATCGCTGCATCCCCGGCCAACCCATTTGTCCACACGGGCAGGTGTTTTCCCTGCGCCCTTGCCGCCCTAGTGGTGGACACCTCCTTTTCCAGGAATTCTTCAAAGTCGCTGGTCTTCTCTGCAGGACCTTTGCCAGCCCACGCGGAAATCGCTTTGTGCTGTTACCTTTACGCGCGCTTGATGACCCGTTAGGGGAGGCGTGAACCTGGTTGTGGTCCCCCCCCCTTCTCTTGCATTTGGTTCGTCGTCTCGAAATCAAAGTTACTTTCCGCGCGTCCGGAATTCTTTAGACAGCTGTTGCTTCCACATCCGCACCGAGCTGGGGAAACCTTACGAAGAGGGCGTAAAAGTAGAGTATGGGATTTCCTGATTCTTGGCTAGGGAAGCGTTGGTCTAATGTCCGTATCTTTGATTTCAAGCGCTGCCGAAAAGGAACGCGGGCGCTTTAAGTACAGTCGATCAATCGCGAACTTACCCGATGAACAACACGATCCGGACAAGCCGTAGATTCGTGCAATTAGGAAGGATTTTTCCTTTTGAAAGCTGTTATATAGGATCGCTGGCGAGTTTCTTTCAAATCCTCCCCTCTCCGTTTCCAAATTGGTTTCCTCCGGATTGAATTGGGACTACAACTCCCAGAATTCGCAGGATAGCTATACATTTGCAAAAAGAATCTCAGAGTGATCAGGACATTCGATTGTCGTGGATCAATTAATCTGAACTAAAGCTATGTAGTAACGGTAGCAGTGGCTGTTTTCAACAACAAGAGGAAATAACTAGATGAGGCTAAAAAAATCGGTGGAATGGAGAGGGAGGGAAACTTGATGATAGTTGGTTAACCTGAAAATAATATAAAGAACTTTTGAGGGAGGGATTGTGTTTGGTTAGTGAGGAAGGGGGTGCTCAGAACTGAAAATTGCAGTTCTCTCTCTCCTGCTGTTCAGGAATGTTGTTATGTTAGATCCGTGCAGACATGTGTTTGCAATCCCTTCTATGAGACATCCTGATCAGTGGCTCTAAAAATCACCTCTTGCCTGCCTGGAAAACCAATTCCTGTCTTGAACCAGCCAGTCTGGGTTGCTTCAGTTTAATGCAGGAACCGGCACCTCTCAGTGCAAGGATTTATTTTAAGGACGTAGGGAAGAGATGGGTTTGCCCTTCAAGTTAAGGTATAACACACTTGGGGCTCAACATGAGTGGGTTGGGGTTTATAAACCAAAGTAATACTGTTTGTGAATCTAGATAATTGCAGCTTTGTTTGGCTGATAGTGATTAAACCATAGTTTAACATGTAAAAATCAAACTCTTTTATTAGAGCATAGTTCTATATTATATTACATAGAAATTCTTCATTAAATGTAATCAGATCTGTAAATATTGATGTTCTCATTTAGATGCTAATTTAAGGAAAAGAATTGTATGGAACAAATTGAAAATGATGAATATAAATGCAGGGACATGGTAGTAATTTCTGCAAGCAATCAAATGCGTGCAAACTAAACAATGCTGAATTAAATTATTTTAATAAGATAATCTCTAGGTTAAGTGGTGTTTTCAGAAGCATGTCCACAGTTTTCCTGGCAGCAATACGGAAATGATTTTCCTTGGCTTTTGAGGGAGAATATTGTAGGGTTTGGGTTTTTTGGGGGGTGGGTAGGTGTTGTCTTCCCAGGGTACTTTGCAAACCAGGGATTTCCTATCCTGTCTAAGTAGAGGCCTGATTTGACCCTATTTAGTTGCTGAGATCAGTCAAGGTCAGGTATGTACTGTCAAGCTTTTGTCCTCATGGCTGGCTGCACCCTACTTTTCTGAGAGAGTACAGAACTCTCGGGCCTTTCACCTGGTGTTCTTGAATAAGTATGTTATCGTTACTCAATTACATTATCAATGAAATATGTTTTATAGTTACTTGGCAATAGACAGACTTGCAGAGTGTATAAATGTTGAATGGCAATGTTAGTTTAGAATGTCTGTGGTGATTCTCAACCATCCAGGTCATGGTCATCCCAAAAATGCTTTTCAAAAGGCAATTAGGCTTTCTTGGATATTTATTTTCCTTGAAAATGTTTTGCTTCTCATCCAAGAAGCTTCTTCAGTTCAGTATTTTAGTTGAGAACAGGGGTGTCAAATTCATGTCATCATGTGACATATCGAGACTTTTTACCTCTTTGCTAAACCAGGTGTGGGCGTGGCCAGCATGTGACACATCCGGCCTATGGGCCAGGAGTTTGACAGCCCTGGTTTAGAATAATGCAATGGTAAAATTCTTAGACTTGGATGAAAACCGAAAATGTTGAATACAAATCTCAGGTGAGCTGTGGACACATTTGCTGAGTTGACCCATGTCAAGCCATGATGTGATTTATTTGCTTTGGTATAATACAATGTATGGATATAATCATTGTGGTTTGATATTTATGGAGTGCTCTGGCTTGCATATCAAATTATTCTGGGCAAATTCTGGAAGTTGAAGTCCACAAGTCTTAAAGTTGCCAAGTTTGGAGACCCCTGATATAAAGCATGGCTTGGTATAAAATGTAGATTAGCCATTACTTGGATTCATACAATGCAACAAACTATAATATGGATTGTTCAATTTTGGGTGTATCAATTCACAAACTATTTCTATGCTAATTAATAGAGAGCTTTCTGGACCCATTTTCCTCCCTAAACTGGGCAAGGTAAGGTCTAACATCATCTTAGTTATGATGCATAAACTTGGTTGTAGTAAGCCTTTGGCCACTTAAGTTTACTTTTATTTTCTCAAATTGAACAATGAAAATATCTGAATTAAAGTACTGTAACTAATTAAAGGGGAAGCCGTTAGACCTAAACCATGCAATATTTTGCTGTTAAAATAATTTGATTGTCTGAATTTTATTCTGGATTTTATTAATGCTGAATACAACAGTAGAAAGGAGAGCCTTAATTGTTAGTGGGATTTGAAGCAACGCTCTATTTGGCATCCAAGAAAGGTGAAGGGGGGTAGCATTTAAATTCAGCTGCTGTTTTAGAAACATTGCCTTTGTGAGATGTCTTCTTCCTGCTGCACCAGCTAAATAAAGTTCAAATCAAAGGCAGCTTTGAAAACAGTCAGCCTAGCAACCTCATCAAAGGTATTCCTTTTGCTTTATTTGGTTATTTACTTATTTGTATCCTACCTTTATTTTTACAAAAAATTCAAGACAGCAAACATATCCAGTACACCTTCTTCTTCCTATTTTCCTCATAACAGTGAGGTGAGTTGGGCTGAGAGATGGTGAGTGAGTGGCCGGAGATCATCCAGTTGGTTTTCCTGTCTAAGTCAGGACTTGAACTCGCAATCTCCCACTTTCTAGCCTGGTGCCTTAACCACTAGTCCAGGGGTGTCAAACTCATGTCGTCACACCAGTGTCACATGACATATCAGGACTTTTTTTTCCCTTTCACTAAACTGGGTGTGGTCAGTGTGTGATGCATCCAGCCCGCAGGCCGGGAGTTTGACAGCTCTGCATTAGACCAAGCTGGTTATGAAACTAATACAAGCTTGTGAAAGGGTTCTTTAAGATAATGGGGAGAAAAATAAGGTAAAGCAAAATAAATATGTATTAAAATGTAGAATAAGATAAAAGTGTTGAACTTGTTCCCTGGTGATTACACAGTCATGAGTAACAGTATGGAACTGGTTTATCATTAGTATCTTCTCCAAATTTAGCCTATAGCCTGCTGTCCTTTTCTGGTGAGTTCCCAGCAGAGGATTAATCAGGTTAGGGTTAGCCTACTTTGGGTTTTCCAATACCACCCAGGCAGCTTGGGGCTGAACACATCTAAAATGCAAAAGAAATATTCCAATAGTGTAGATTTATCTTTTTAAAACTACCACGTTTTAAATGCGATATGAGGCATCCCTGATTGTAGGAAACCCAAGGGAAAAAGCAACTATTGTAAAGCTACAAAGAATTGTTTTACATTTTAAAGCACATCCTTTAATACGGTACTAACAAACTTGGTTCCACCCCTTTCTCTGAGTATATGAAACCACTTTGTGATTTCATTATCTTTGCATCAGTCTTACCGGGTAAATTAAGTTATAAAAGAGGTTTTTTGCCTAAGGCTACCTAGAGACCACACGGCATTAAAATTAGGTGAACTATGTTCAAAGCTAACTTTTGTTGCTAAAATCCAGTCGATTACTATATTAGGCAAGTTATGTTTCCCCTTCCAGCTTTTGACTTATAAGAAGATAAGGAATCAGAGTTAATTCTCATATGTGGTTGTGAAGGTAAATCTGTTACAGTAGATATACTGTACTCCATCGGTTTTCTCAAGATGTTAACAGAGGTATCAAAAAAGAAATTTGCTTTTCCAAAGAAAGCCAATCTTCTCTTCCTAGGATATACTGTACATTTAGCTCTTTGTGCAATACATTTGTCCAGCTGTACTACTACCTTCCTTATATGGCTTAAAGACTTATTCTTGGGTTCCATACAAGCATGTAGTCACAGCACAAGCTCTCTCCACTGAATATCCAGGAATGGCCTGGATTTAATGAGGTTAACTCAGCAAAAATAAGAGTGCTAATGCAAATGGTTTGTAGAGTGGGTGTGCGTGGGGAGCTGACACTGGAATTCCAAATAGGTTGGGGTGCTTGCTGCTACAGCTGTGGGAATAAAACTTTGACCTCTGCTGCATTCTAATTTAAAATTTGTGCTGCTCCATCACACTTTTTTGTTCAGCTTTTTTTCCCCTTCTTCTTGGGCGCTAAGTAGCTTGGGTGGGAAGGGGGAGATGAGCTGCTATAAGGAAAGGGCCCTGAATGCATTTTCAGTGCTTCAGTTGCAGGAATGTGAAACTGTAAGGTTTCATCTTTTCCCTACCACATTCAGTAAAGCACAACATCCATCAACTAAGGCAGAGCTTTCAGTCTCAGCCATTTTAAAGGTGAGTGGACTTCAACTCCCAAAATTCTACAGCCAGCGTGCTGAATAATTCTGGGACTTAAAATCCATCTTAAAATAGCTGAGGTTAGGAAACATTGAACTAAGATATTCTCGTCTTGCTTTTTACTGTTTCCTCCTTTGCAAAGTCAAGATGTAGTAAAAGGCAAAGAGATATAAATGGATGTGCTGGGATGGAAATTACAGGCAAAAGGAAATAAGCAATCCAGAAGCCATTTTGTTCTTGTTAAAGAAATCTGTTGCAAACTGGCAGATTACACACAAACTTGCCTTAAAACATATGCACTCTCGCTGACACACCCACATGCACACAAACAAACCAGAAGCATATATTGTAGAGGAAGGCCATGTTAATCTATGATGACTAAAAATCAGGTAGCACCTTTTCACATTGAAATATTTAATTAAAAAG